ATTACATACATCCCTACAAATTATTTAGTCCATATTTCTTTTTCTTAAATTCTTTTATTGGTATATTTTAGGTATACAATACATCTACATTTATCACTGGGTGCTTGTAACTGTACATGATGTATCTCGGTTCAAATTATTTCCACATTACCTGTGTACCCTTCAGCCCCTCCACCCTTCCCTATTTAAATAGACTTTGTTTCTGTTTTTTTCTTTGCTTTTAATATTTCCTTTCCCTTCTTTCCTTTCCCCTTCCCCTCCCACTTCCCTTACCCTTTTGGACTGTTTCTTCCTATTTCAAATTATCAATTATTCATTTTAAACGTTTTAATCCTTGTTTACACTTTCAGTTTCTCACACTAGAGATACTATTTGGTATTTACACATGTGTGTCTTATTTATTTCACTCAAGAGTATGGCCTCAATATGCATCCATTTAGCTATAAATGACTCTAGTTTCTCATTCTTCATGGCTGAGTAGTATTCCATTTTATAAAAAAACCACATCTTCTTTATCCAGTTTCCAGTTGATGGACACTTGGGCTGTTTCCAAGCATTAGCTATTACGAGATGTGCCACTATGAACATGGGTGCACATATATCGCTTTGGTATGATTCTTTTAATTCTTTTGGGAAGATATCCAGCAGGGGAATAGCTGGGTCATATGAGACCTTTAGCCCTAGTTCTTTGATGTATCTCCATACTGATTTCCACAGTTGTTGCACCAGTCTGCACTCCCACCAACAATGGAGAAGGGTTCCTTTCTCCCCACACCCCTGCCAGCATTTGTTATTGGTTGATTTCTGGATAGCAGCCATTCTATCTGGGGTGAGGTGAAATCTCAGTGTTGTTTTCATCTGCATCCCTCAAATGACCAGTGATGTTGAACATTTTTTCATATGTTTATTTGCTGCTTTTACTTTTTTGTCTGAGAAATGTCTGTTCATTTCAGATGCCCATTTTTGAATTGAGTCTTTAAATTTGAGGGGTCTCATTTTTTTCAGCTCTTTATATATTCTACATAGTAGTCCTTTGTCTGAGGTACAGCTGCTAAAAATTTTGTCCCACATTGTAGTTGTCTCTTAGCTCTGTTGGTGATTTCTCTTGAAGTCCAGGAGCTTTTTAATAAGATGAGATCCCAGTTGTTGATTCTTTGTGCTAGTTTCCATGCTACTGAAGTGTTGTTCATGAAGTCTTTTCCTATGCCAATGTCTTGAAGAGTTCTACCTAACTTATTTTCCAGCAAGTTTACTGTTTCTGTCTTAATATTTAGATTTTTAATCCACTTCGATCTTAGTTTAATGCATGGTGATAGGTATGGGTTTAGTTTTAATCCGTGGCAGGTTGAAATCCAGTTTTTCAAACACCATTTATTAAATAGGCTATCTTTCCTCCAGTGAGGCTGGTTGGCTCCTTTGTCAAAGATGAGGTAGCTGAGTATGTCTGGAGTTGTGTCTGCATCTTCTAATCGATTTCACTGATCCTTGGGTTTGTTTCTTTGCCAGTACCATGTTGTTTTTATCATAGTAGATTTGCAGTATAGTTTCAAGTTGGGGATTGTGATACCTCCTGTCATGTCTCTGTTGCCTAGAATTGCTTTTGCTATTCTAGGTCTCTTCTGGTTCCAAATGAATTTTTAGATTGTTTTCTTTAGTTCTGTGAAATATACAGTTGGGATTTCAATCTGAATTGCATTGAATTTGTACAGCAGTTTTGAAAGTATGGCCACTTTCACTATATTGGTTCTTCCTACTCAGGGGCAAGTGATGTCTTTCCATTTTCTTATATCCTCTTTGATCTCTTTTCCAGAGTGCTGTAGTTTTTAGTGTAGAGGTCTTTTGCTTCCCTTCTTAGATTGATTCCTAGATATTTCATTTTTTTGGATGTTATTGTAAAAGGAATTGTTTCCCTAACTTCTCTCTTGGTGAGTCTGTTATTGTATAAGAACGCTATTGTTTTTTGAGTGTTGATTTTGTATCTGGCTACTCTACTGAATCTGTCAATTAAGTCTAGAAATCTTTTGGCAGAGTTTTTTGGGTGTTCTTTGTAAGGTATCATATCATCAGCAAATAAGGACAATTTAACTTCTTCTTTTCCTATCTTTATTCCTTTTATGCCTTTCTCTTTTCTAATTGCTGTGTCTAATGTTTCCAGAACCATATTGTACAGGAGTGGTGATAGTGGGCATCCTTATCTTCTTCCTTATTTTAGCGTGAAAGTTTTCAATTTTTGACCACATAGTATGATTTTCGTTGTTGGTTTTTCATAGATAGCCTTAATAAGGTTGAGATAAAGACCTTCTATTCCAATTTCTTATCATGAATGGTGTGGGACTTTGTTGAATGCCTTTTCTGCATCTTTCGAGATGATCATAAGATTTTTGTTCTTGGCTCTGTTAATATAGTGTATTACATTTATTGTTTTACTTATGTTGAACCATCCTTGCATCCCAGGGATACATCCAACTTGTTCAGGGTGTATGATCTTCTTGATGACCCTCTGTATTCTGTTTGCCAGGATCTTGTTGAGGATTTATGCATCTATGTTCATTAGGGCAATTTGCCCTTAGTTCTCTTTTTGGATTGGGTCCTTCCCTGGTTTTGGAATCAAAGTAACACTTGCTTCCAGCAATGAATTTGGAAGCCTTGCTTCCCTTTCAATTTCCTTGATGAATTTAAAGAGTAATGGTGATAGTTCTTTAAATGTCTTGTAGAATTCACCAGTGAAGCCATCAGGACCTGGGCTTTTCTTTGATGGTAAATTTTAAATTACATTTTCAATTTCACTGATTGTAATTGGGGTGTTTAGAATCTCTCTATCTTCTTCATTTAACTTTACCAGTTTGTATGTATTTAGGAACCTGTCCATTTCTTTTGTGTTCTCCATTTTATTAGAGAAGAGGTTCTGGAAGTAGGTATTGATGATCCTCTGGATTTCTGGTGGGTCTGTTGTGACTTCACCTTTTTCATTCCTAATTGCACAGATTTGAGCCTTTTCTTTCCTTTTTTTGATAAGGTTGGCTATAGGTTTATTGATTTTATTTATTCTTTTGAAAAGCCAAATCATTGATTCATTGACTTTGGGGCAGGGGGTACCAGGGATCGAACTTGGTTCCTTGGGCTTGTGAGGCAGGCAGCGGAAACACTGAGCTAAATCCCCAGCCCTCATTGATTTTTTTGTATCATTCTTTTAGTGTCCATTGGATTGATTTCTGCTCTGATCTTTATAATTTCCTCTCTTGTATGAGCTTTGGGTTTGTCCTGCTCTTCTTTTTCTAGAAGCTTGAGGTTCAGCATTAGGTTGTTTATTTGAGCTCTGTTTTCCTAATATGGGCATTCACTGCTATGAATTTCCCACATAGAACTGCTTTCATTGTGTCCCATAGATTCCTGTATGGTGTACTGGCATTATCATTTACTTGTAGAAACTGTTTAATTTCTTCTTTAATTTCATCTGTGACCCACTGGTTGTTCAGGAGAGTGTTATTC